CCCGCTTGCTTGCTGGCATCACTTTCACTTGATAAGGATGATTGATTCCTCAATGTAGATCCTTTATACTGATCTTAGATCAGTTGTGCAAGTTTACAGAATTTAGATTTAGAGAAAATGTCATATTGCACCATGGTGCTTCGGGTGTCCAGAGTTTGAATCCTGACTCGCGGTCCTTTCCTGATCCCATATCCCTCTCTCCCACTTCACTTCCTGTCAACAATACTGTCCTATCATAATAAAAGGCAAAACAGCCAAAAAAAAAAAAGAGAAATTTAGAGAACTATTTTACAAAGTGCCGTTTTTGTACGAATGTGTATGATGTGATTCATACAGAAATGTGTGATTTTTAGAAAAAAAACAAGCATATGATGAGATTCATAAGGAAACATGCTTTTTTGTTTGTTTGTTTGTTCACAAACCTAACCAGTGGGACACATACCGCAGATCGTTCAAAAACATACAATTGAGATTGTACGAATTACCACCAATGCCCTAAAACATAAAATGGTGAAATGGTTCTGGTTGGTTGTTTATCAAAAGATCCCAGCCCAACAATACTGTCCTATCATAATAAAAGGCAAAACAGCCAAAAAAAAAAGAAGAGAAATTTAGAGAACTATTTTACAAAGTGCCGTTTTTGTACGAATGTGTATGATGTGATTCATACAGAAATGTGTGATTTTTAGAAAAAAAACAAAAACAAGCATATGATGAGATTCATAAGGAAACATGCTTTTTTGTTTGTTTGTTTGTTCACAAACCTAACCAGTGGGACACATACGCAGATCGTTCAAAAACATACAATTGAGATTGTACGAATTACCACCAATGCCCTAAAACATAAAATGGTGAAATGGTTCTGGTTGGTTGTTTATCAAAAGATCCCAGCTAGGCCTTTGTTATTTTGGTTTCTCATTATTATACACTTCTAAACTTTCAAGTTTGATATCAGCATGTTGCTAAGCGAACCACAGGATAGTCAATTAAAATAAAACGGTACACACAAATTTCACTATGAACCCGATAGCGGTTTCAAATGCAGCTTGCTAATTGAAATGGCTAACTAATGCTAATCCTTAGGGTTAATGGTTTGAACAAACCCCTAATTAATTTCACCTAGTGAACAATAAGGCTTTTCACATTTAATGTTAGCATGTTGCTAATCTAAGAATAGTTAATTGAAATAAAAAACAACATGGTGCACAGAAATATTGTGTGAAATAATGTTTTAATGTGTGAAGTAATGTTTGTGAAATAATGTTTATACAACTGTTATTTATTGATCATTTGTGGTATTGAATGAAATATGTTCATAATCGACATTTAATAAGTGTATAATCGACATTTCTCTCGCCTCATCCACCGTCTTGGATTTTTTCATCAAGCTTGTCACAGTGCATTTTGGGATTTTCGATTACGAAAACATGGTGTTTAATAACACACCAAAATTAATTTGCTACGTTTTTGAACAACCTTGCTGAAAAAAATCTGCTAAAACTAGCTTAAAGGGTTAGTTCACCCAAAAATGAAAATTAGCCCATAAATTACTCACCCTCAAGTCATGCTAGGTGTATATGACTTTCTTCTTTTAGACGAATCCAGTCGGAGTTATATTAAAAATTGTCTTTGATCTTTCAAGCTGTTTAATGCCACTCAGCGGGTGTTGCATGCATCAGCCCAAAAGCAGTTAATAAAAATCGCCCATCCAGAAAAAAAAGTGTCTCACACGGCTCCGGGGGGTGAACAAAGGCCTTCTGTAGCGAATCGATGCTTTTTTGTAAGAAAAATATCCATATTCAAAACGTAATAATCATTTTAATCTAGCTTACGCCAACAGTCCTACATGGAAGCAGTTCCGGGCGGATGACGTATGAGCTCAGCGTTGCGCATGCGCTGCTCAGAAGTGACGCACGCGGAAGCGCAGGGGAGAGATCAAAACAAAACAACGATCAAGAATTAGAAGTACAAAA